TCAAGCCCCACATTGGGTGTAGAGATTATTTAAAAATAAAATCTAAGAAAGGTAGGAAGGGAGGGAGGGAAGAGAACTGTTGCAAACAGATCTCATTAGAAAAAAAAGGGAAGGCTGAGAGGAAGGCAGCCCTCAAATCACATATGTAAGGGTGTAGCTGGTAACCAGAAGCAGAGAAGCACTCCCAACTGCAAGTGGATGCTGGACTTCTCTGTGACTAAATCAGAAGGATGGGGAAAAAGTCTGAGTCACCATTATCTACTCCCTGAAGTAGCTGCCATCCAAAACACCAGTGGTCAATGGCTAAAGAGCCACCTCCTTTCATGCCCAACTATCTCAATGAACTCAGTTCAACAGAAGCAAAGACTTAGATGGAGTAGATCACAAAGGGGTTGAAGGAAGCAACAAATCAGAAAGAGCACATGTTTGTCTGTGTCTTTTATTCACAATAAGGTAGGCATGGGTGGCTGGGAAATACATATACGAGTCCAGATGATGGAGGGACACCATCTCCCAAGTCAGGAAAGCCCAGATATGCCCTCTGGTTCTCTTACCTTAACTGCTATGTTGTTAGATTCAGTAGCGCCACTGGTGAAAATGATCTCACGAGGATCAGCCCCAATCAGAGATGCTACTTGCTGCAAACCAAGAAACAGAGATAAATAACACCAGCTTCCCAGGCAAGAATGCAACTGCAGACACAGCTGGGACAGAGCTCTGGATCAAAAAGTATGCCACTACATTCTATCAACTGTCCAAAAAGCTCTGCACCCTCTAGGGTCAGAAAAGGGGTAGATTCAGTTACATCCCAGATCTGAGGCTCTTTTCACATCTGATAAAAAATGATAATAGGGGTGCCTGGGTGGCTTAGTGGGTTAAGCTTCCAACTCTTGACTTCAGCTCAGATCCTGATCTTGTGGTTGTGGGATCAAGGCCCGAGTTGGGCTCCACACTGAGCAGGGAGCCTGCTTTGGATTCTCTGTCTCTTTCTCTGCCCCTCCTCCACTCATGCACAGGCTCTCTTTCTCTCTCTCAAAGATAGATAAATAAACTTTAAAAAACACAAAATAATAATAATATTGATTTCTTTAAAATAACTTGTTGAGCTCCTAGTATGTATAAGCATTGTGGCATTGTGTTAATAAACACATCACCAGCAAGATCTCATTTAACCACACAATAATCCTAACAAGCAGGAACTATTACAATCTCCACTTTGACGTGAGGAAATTGAGGTTTAGAGAAATTAGATAAAATTCCAAAGATCATTTAGTTAGGAAAAATAAAAACTAATAAAATGCTTTCAGAGGGACTCCAAGGGCCTGCTCGCTACATCTCCTCCAGAAAGAGCCCCAAACCACTTCCACCTCCACCCAGAGTTACGAAGGAAATGCCTCCCACAGTCCACTGAACCTCTGACATCAGAATCTCTTAGAGTCTTCTATACCAACCTGGCGAGCACGTTCCATGGCTGCCTCACTCTCCCAGCCATAAGCATGTGTCCGGGAGTGTGGGTTTCCATAGTAGTTGACCAGGTAAGGGAGCATGGCATCCAACACCCGAGGGTCCTGAGCACAACAGAATATATCAGTGTCCTTGAGTCCATAGGTAACTCAAGCCCCACTCCATCCCCTCAGACTTGCCCAACTACCTCAACACACTCCCAACCCTTCAGACACTGCTTAGACAAAGCCTCATTCTTCTATCCCCTTAGGTACTAAACAAACATCAGCCTAACATACTCCCACTCTCAACCCATCTTAAATCATTCTACCAGATGATTCTTCTACCATCTCCTCAGGTAATCTACAAACATTGCCTTGTCCTGATAGATGTTTCTGCATGTTTCCATTCCTGCCAGGCAATGTGATCTACAAGGGCCAGGACATGACAAGAGTCCACATGTTGATGAAACCTTCCATTAATATCGAAGTGCTTATCATGTGCCAGGCTGTTTAAAGGGCTGCTTTATGTCTTTTAACCCACGTAATACTTGCCCAAATTCACACAGTTATTAGTAAGTGGCAATCCAGCTAATTCCAGAGGCTATGCATTTAACTACTACCAAAGTGCCTACATTGAAGTGATCTCACCAAGGTCAATAGCTGGTAAGTAGCAGAGCCATTTTTAGTGGATTACAAATTAAGCCTCCTGACTCCTGGCTCATTGCTTTTCCCAACACACACTTCTCAATGTCTCTCACTTCTGCAGGATCCAGTCATTTATGTGCATTGTCACTTCTGCAACATGTTATAAATAGCCTTGGGGAAAGCTGCCCCTCTATCCTTACCAGAGGAGTTGTAGCTTGGACGTCCATATACAGAGGTCGCAGCACTGACTCCACCTCCGGAGCAGTGGCTGTATCTGAGGGAACAGCGGACTGGGGGGCATTATCTACAACTGACCAAAAAAAAAAAAAAAAAAAAAAAAAAAAAAAAAAAAAAAAAAAAGAAAAGAAAAAGAAAAAAAGGTATGAAGTGGCCAAGCGTGGAAGAACGCAACTATGGCCACAGGGTATCCAAAACAGCAGGTGAACGTTGGATGTAGGTGAGATAAGCTAAAAGGATGCTGGGGTTGAATCTCAATGGAAAAGGAAACAAAACATCAGCGACCTTAAACAAACTGTAAAAGGAGGTAAGGGAGAGAGACCATGTTTTTGGAAGGGGATGCTGGGTCAATATTCGAATTGCCTGGTTGGGAGGGGGGAGGGTTCGAAAAGGGCAAAGCCATTTAGAAGGGGTGTGGAGACGGAGTAGCTACGATCCCCTTCAAAGATAACTGGCTGGACGACTAGCATCTCCAAAAGTGCAGGAGAGATCTGAAGGCCGACCGAGCCTCCAAGCCTCCGAGGGCCTGTGGGGCAGAATCTGAAGGGTGACGCGGAGAAGTCAACCGTACTGAGGACCGGCCTGAGAAAGTTTGAGGGGTGCAGCGAGGAAGCAGGGTCAGGGGGTCCGGGCAGCGGACGGAAGACGGAGATTCGGTAATATTCCGGTGCGTCGCCACGCCAAGGGGGAAGGTCCGCGCTGGTAGGGAGGGTGGCGGTGAGTGGGGCCCGGAGCGTACCGCGCAGGCGCAGCCCCCGAGCGGGCGCCTCGGACCTGGGTCCCGGAGCGGCCCGCACAGCCGCGGCCGCCCGCCTCCAAGCGGTTCGCAGCAGCATGGTCCCGCTAGCAGAGCCCCCCGCCCGAAGCAGCGGCACTACTCTGCTACACGCTCCCGGAAGTTCTGCCTCGCGCCCCGGAAGCAATTCCTCAGGCCGCGGGCGTGCTCCGCCTCGCGTTTGGTGTGAGACGTAGAACTGAGCGACCAAAGCCGCGAACGAGGTGAGGTGGGGGCACAGCGGCGCGGGGACCCGAACGCTAAGAGGGTGATGGAGTCGGGTTACGCGCTTATTTTCCTCCCTGGACTTCCCCGAACCCTTGGATCCGCTCCCCACCCCGCCTCCTCCAGCCCCCGCTTGACTCGGGCTGGCGGCTAGGCCCACACTCCCTTAACCCTCGAACCCCGCAGATGCCGGTGGCCGTGGGGCCCTACGGACAGTCCCAGCCGAGCTGCTTCGACCGCGTGAAGATGGGCTTTGTGATGGGCTGCGCAGTGGGCATGGCGGCTGGGGCGCTCTTCGGCACCTTTTCCTGTCTCAGGTGAGGGGCGAGGGCGGTGATCTATGGGCGGAACTACCGGACCTTTTCGTCCCGCGCCACTTGGCCTGCAGCCTGGATAGAACCTACTTCGTTTCAGTTCCCTCGCTTTTAATGAGTGAGACTGATTTCCTATCCACCTTCAGTCTGGATGGAAAGGTTGGAAGCCTTGGCGCTAGAGAATATGAGCTCTCAAACTGAAAGTCTCTTTACTCCTTCTGTAACCTTAAGCAAATTGGAGTCTGGGTTACTTAAGTGTAGAATGAGGTCAGTAACATCTACTTCATGGAGTTGTAAGGATCAAATCAGAGCACACTTCGCACAGAATGTAGCACATATTAAGTGCTCAATAAATGGTTGTTACTACTGTTGCTGCCGTTATTTCTAGTTCTGCATAGTGAATCTTATTGAGAGCAATTTTACTGTACTGGAAACAGGATATAGATAGGAAGCAGATAAACTCTACACCCTGAATGTCATTTTCACATGTAATAGAGACTATTATTTCCATTTTTCCACATTGTAAATTACCATTTACTGAGCACTGTTCTAAATGTTGAATGTGTTATCAACAATCCTATGAACCTTTTGATCCCCATCTTACAGTTGACATAGCCTGTAAATTGCAGAGCTGGGACATAAACACGTCTGACCCCACAATGATTGCTTTAATGCCAGGAAACCATCAGAGAGTCAAATGTCTTTATATATACCAGAAAAAAAAACTAGTTTCTCTAGGTACTTTGCCTCAGCTGCCTCCCCAAAACCGAAGTCTGGTCATAATACTATTCATCAGAAAAGCCCCAGAGACCAAGATGCATGCTTTTTTTGCTAGTCATTACCCATCTCAGGTGGAAAGAGATAACGTCCTGCCAGACTTCAAAAGGGCTTGATTTACTACTCAAGTAATTTGGGAAAGGGCAGTTAATGCCATTTCTTGTATTTTTTGTTCCTGGTTTGCTGCATCTTGGTTTCCTCTTCTCTTAGGATTGGAATGCGGGGCCGGGAGCTGATGGGCGGCATCGGGAAAACCATGATGCAGAGTGGAGGCACCTTTGGCACGTTCATGGCCATTGGGATGGGCATCCGATGTTAATCAGGGCAATGGTTGTCCACTACAGCTACTCCTTCCCATCAGTGCCAGCTCATGTACTATAATAAAAGAAATCTTTGAGTAGTGTTTTTTCTTCTGACTTGCCTATATTCAGCTTAGAGCTTCTAAGGTGGGCCAATGAGTAGGTTGCATGTTTTTCAAATCCTGTTAACCCAAAATTACAAAAATTTTCCATACATGAACTGTCCATAGATTCTAGTAAACTCTTGTTATTCAGCCTCATAAGGTTGATGTTACGGTCACCATTTTAAAGGTTAAAAACTAAGTCCAGATTTCCTCAAGGTCACACTGCAAAAGGTAGTGTTAACCCAAGTCTCATTTCCAAAGCTATGTTCACTCAAAAATTGTCCTTTGGGGCACCTGGGTGGCTCAGTCTGAGTGTCCCGACTTCAGCTCAGGTCATGATCTCACAGCTTGTGAGTTCGAGCCCCGCGTTGGGCTCTGTGCTGACAGCTCAGAGCCTGGAGCTTGCTTCGGATTCTGTGTCTCCCTCTCTGCCCCTAACCCACTTGCATTGTCTCTGTCTCTCTCAAAAATAAACCTTAAAAAAAAAAATTTGTCCTTCAAGGTTTGACTAAATCAGGAAAAGAATAAATCATCCATGGGGAAACAAACTCAAACTATCAGACATTTCTGTAGCTTAACAGCACAAAATTCACATAATTTCCTAACCAGCCATCTGTGAGGATATCAATTGTGTAACACTGACCCCTGCCCCCAACACTGGGAATTGGTTTCATAAGATAGGTTCCTTGTAATAAGGCCAAGTGTCCTTCACCTACTCCTGCCACACAACCCTTGACAAACTGTGCTTTAAAACCGTACTGCCCCTTGGGGCACCTGAGCGGCTCAGTCGGTTAAATGTCTTGATCTCAAGTTCAAATCCTGCATTGGGCTCAACTCTGAACATGGAATCTACTTTAAAAAAGAATCATTACCCCTCAACGAAAACGGTAATGTTATGACAGACATAAATTATTTTGGGAATATTTGGGTGTCCTAAGGACACTCCTGCAGGTGCAACCAAGACACTACACTAACCAGGGTAACTACAGCAGCTACATTTCCCAGAGTGGGATGCGGTCTCAGGAATGGATTACCTGAAGGATCTCAAATTCATTTGACTACTTTCTGTCCCTCACACTATTCCAATTACTTGTACATTTCCCTTAACATCGTTTACATCTCATTCTGCAGCAGTGGGCAAATTTTTGCCACCTCTACCACCTATGAGGTTAATTAAATGCCTAAGTTGGCCCAGCTCCCAGAAAGGAATGATAGAACAAACCTGACAGGACATGAATCTAGAATAGAAAATTATGAAGATACTAGATTTCAAAAGAACATTGACAGAAGTCTGCCCCAAGGAACAGTGCTGCCTAGAGTTGAAAAATAATTGAATCTTGAAAATTTCCTTTGGGTTAAGTAACTGAAGCAATTAAGGGAAGAAATTCTAAGTATCCATCAAAAGGACTGGTAGAAAATCATACCTCCAAACTTATTACTTGGATATCCAACTAAACCTATTAAAACTTGGGCCTTAACACTAACGAATCAATATAGTAGAAAGAAATAAGCAGGTGAAGAAATTGGTACTGGAAAGTAATCATTCCATTTGGGGCAACAACTCAAAGGTTCAAGGTAGATAAACTTGAAACAGAGTTCAGAATATAATGGTGATGGCTCATTCCAAGTTCAAATTCCTTTATAAAGTAACATGCAGTTAAACTGGGAAATCACTTAAATCTGTTTGAACTTACACCATTTTGTTCAGTGTTTAAATACAGAAACATTTCTCACAAAGACGCCCAGACACAAGAAAGAATTAAGACTACCCAGGTTTAAGGTGTGGGCAGATTTGTTTGGTTTTCTTGATGGAAAATCCCTAAAGTTTTGATGCATTACCCTAAGGAAGTACAGTGCTAAGATGGAGATACGGAGCAATGTAGAGACAACTTGAGGACAACAGTTTCCCCAGACTCTGCACACTATTTTCCCAAAGAAGCAAGTCTTCATTAACTACCAAAAGTCAAAGAAACTAGTATGCTATTTTGAAGTTTCTATGACTTTAAAACATTTCAAAAATGAAGATTTCTTGTGGCCTTTTTAAGAGAATTTTATTTGAGTGGTTCTTACAAAGGTTGTTGCAATATGAAAGTCATTTGTTTGATAGAAATATCAAGCTGTCTTGTCAAACACACTGAAGTAACCCAAAAATATATTTCAGAGCTCACAGAGCTTAAAAAGAGCAAAGATTATATGCAACCAGACAAAACCTATTTCTGCATTTCCTATTTCTTGCTCAGACTGCTTTGCTTACCAGACTGCCACTAAACATTTTGAGGAAATGCAGGGATCATTTTGTTTGGAATCTTAAGACACACCAGAACACATAATATTTACAAAGAAACTTTTACAGATACATTAAATTGAAAAGATACCATCTGGAAATGTAATCTTGAAATCTCCTTTTCTTGCCAATTGATCATGATGCAAGATGAGATGTTAATCATACAGCCCTTTAGCTGTCTTGAATTCCCATACACTAAAAGTGTACTCCAGAAACCTCTGCCAAACCATTAGCCAAATATCAACATTAGTGAAACGTGAAATGTAACTGCTGTGTAAAAAGTTAGGCTTCTGAAACATTAAAAACATAATTACATCCCTGTCTGCCTTTTTACATTAAGCACATTTGTTCCCCCCTAGAGCTATTCCTATAGATCCTTAATGTAATTTTCTACATGTACATTTAAAAGGCAGAACAAGAGAACAGCTTTGTATACAGTGGGATTTGCTAGTTAGGGATAATGAGCACACTGCATTCCTGTTAACATTTTTATTTTTTCAAGGTAACAGGAATTGTATACAAATGACAGTAGACCCTTGCCTCTTTATTTTTATCTAAATAAAAGATAACTCAAGATGAATTCTCAAGAAAGAAAAAAAGCTATGTACATAAGGGACTATATCTTCCTTCATCGTCTACTTGGAACCAGTAGCTGCGTTGCTGTCATAGAATCAGGGAAGAGGTTGTGATAAGTTGGAAGAGGTACATATGCTGCTGTTATCATTTTACCTGTTGAAAGAAACAGATAGGGTTTAAGCATGTTCACTTAAATTACATCCTTCATAATAATCAAGCAGAAAAAAACACATCAAACTCACCAGCAAACCACCTGCCATGCAATGCATTGACAGCAGCAATGGCTGCAGCAATTGATGGGCACTTCACATACACATTGCCCTGAAAGACAACAAAAAAAGTTAAGGGCACGTAGGAAATAACATCAATTTGAATAGGTTTACTCAAGTTGCCTGTAAAAATAACTAACTGCTCTTCAACCAAATAATTGTTTCATTAGCTAGTATGTACACCTAGAGTTGCATTGAAATCATTTTATCCTCCAAAAGACTTGTTCTACACTTTTTCTCTATCATTTCAAAGCAATTAAACAATGAATCAAGAGGCCAGGATTTCATGGCAAGCTTTCAACACTAACCAGCAACACAGCTATAAAATGGCCTAGTCTACTCTTCAATTATTACAAATACACCCTTCTTTTGAAGGGTATATATTTAGTATGTTAAAGTTTCTTTCAGAATTAAACAAAAACTTAAGACTGGGAATATGCCCCGAGTATATGTGAAGGCTAAGTCACAAAATACTAACAACATCTTATATTTATTAAGATCAAAATACCGGAGGCACTTAAAAGGCAGATTAAACTTCTCTTGCTCTAGGGAATAAAGAAAAAAATACCTGAGCTGAATTTTTGTCAACGTAAATATGAATAACTCCTCCATGTTTATTACATTCTTCAATCACATCATCCTTAATCTCTGTATCCCATCCAACTTCTTCTTCTCTGTAAGAAATTATTAAGCTCTATCAGACACCAACCTTGTAAAATGTTACATATGTAGGCTCACCTGTATAAAAATATTTGAAATATGAATTCTTTTATTTAAAAATCATTCATCTTTAGCAGTGTAGTACACTGGAGGAAATAAAAACCAAGATATAAAGAACTGTTTGAAACAAAGCTTATGAATTTAACTCTATCTTTTACATTATTTATTGATATATATCAATTTATACTTATACCAAATATATACCAAAAATAGAATACACTTATACCAAATGTCTATAATCATTTCACAGATAAAGCCAAAATAAAGAATTTGATGTTACCAAAAGAACACAAGAATGAAGGGCTCCTTCTATGGTAAACCATGATTATAAACAATGCAAACAGCATGATACAAATTACTATTGTATAAACCAATGCTTCATAAAATATGGTTATTAAATCAATTGAACAAGATATCTACATTTACCTTGGAGTGTATTATAAATGATTTATAAAACAAACAAGAGTTTGGACTGATAAATGGAATTCTAATCATTACCTAGGCATTAGGAAAGAGAAATTCCCTTTTTCTATTTCCCCGCCCCAAGATCAAGAGTCACATGCTCTACCAACTGAGCCACCAAGGCACCTCAGGAAAGAGAAATTTCTAATTTCCAGCCTGCACTTATCTTTAGGAAGAAAATTTTTGAAGATCCTCTTCTCCTATGTAAGATTAAAATTTCAAAACCAGTAACTGATAAGAGTAAACTAGCAATAGAAATAAACACAAATTAAATATGAACAACCAAAAAAAAGTACAAACAGACCGATAAATACAGAGAACAAAACAGTGATTGACAGAGGTGAGCAGGGTCCGGGGATGGGTAAAACAAATGAAGGGGAGTGGGAAATACAGGTTTTCAGTTATGGAATAAGTCAACAGAGACGAAAAGTACGGGATAGGAAATATAGTCAACGGTACTGTAATAGAAGTGTATGTTGACAGATCTACACCTTTGGTGAACATAAGGTACAGAGCTGAAGAACAACTATCTTATGAGCCTGTAACTAATGTAACACATTATGTATAAACTACAATTAAAAAATAAACACTGATACAAAATATCATATAAAATTACTTAGATGTAATTGGAAAACAAAACCTACATACCTTTCAATTCAATTCCAATCTTACAAACACACCCAAAGGAATTAACAATATAAAAGTTAGCATTAAAATACCCCAAAAGGATCAAAATCGTTTTATTATTTCAACTATGAAATATACTGAAACATCATAAAAGTTAACTTAGGAAAACGGAATATTGGGGAACCTTGGAGGCTCAGTTGGTTAAACATCTGACTCTTGGTTTTGGCTTAAGTCATGATCTTGCACTTTATGGTTTTGAGCCCCACGTCGGGCTCTGCGTCTACAGCAAGAAGCCTGCTTGGGATTCTCTTTCTCCTCTCTCTGCCCCTCTCCTGGGTACGCACTGTTTGGTCTCTCAAAATAAAAACTTTTTTTAAAAGCTGAATACTAAACATTTCACAGTACAGCTGACCACCGAACAACATAGGTTTGAACTGCATGGGTCCACTTATACATGAATTTTTCTGAGAAAATACAATACAGTACTATAAATGTAGTTTCTCTTTCTTAGGCTTTTCTTTTCTTTAGCTTATTGTAAGAATGCACTATATAAGACTTATACAAAACATGTGTTATCAACTTGGGGTTACTATAAGGCTTTTAGTCAACATTAGGCTGTTAGTAAACTTTTGGCAGAATCAGAAGTTACACCTGGATTTCGACTGTGCGGGCAGTTATCAGTGCCTTCTAATCCTTGCAACTGTTGAGTTGTCAATTGTATATACCATTTTCAACTTGACCAAAGTGTATTACTTACGTTTGAGGGTTAAACATGTTAGAGAGTTGAAAACACTGTGTTGCAAGAGGCTGGACAGAGGCAGCTGCAGCTAAAGCTGAAGCTAAAAACAAAACAAAAAAAAAAA